GTATTATTTTCATTCGTAAAATAGACTTCGTTTTGACAACGAATCCAGAATGCGTTAAAATCAGCGTGGACGATTGGTCAGTTTAGAAACAACATTTGCGTTTAATATAATTTAGATTAAATTTCAGAAAATAAAAATTATAGGCCTAATATCAGGCCCGTACGCAGGATTTTTATTGGGTGGGTGCGAATTTGTACCGATTGTAAGACAGTCCCACACAATTTTTCTAATGCAATTTTATGCATAAAAATGGTCCACTTTATGAAAAATGGGTACAGATTTCTATTATTTAGCCTAAAACGGGTAAAATTTAAAGAAAATGGGTTCAGATTTTTTATATTTTTGCATAAAATGGGTCAACTTTTAAGAAAATAGGTCCACATTATTTGAATTTACGTGTAAAGTGGGTCCACCCTGATATTGTCCCGCAATGTTCGAAAATCTTGGCTACGTAATTTGTTTGCGGAAACCCATTCTTCCACAACAAGCCGAAGCAATCTTGATTACGCACCGTGTATCGCTCGTGGCAACTATGCAGCCATTTTTGTTTTTTGTCGAGTATTTACAAGTTTCCTATTCGACTACCGTACTCGCGCGAATAAGTGACCCGTTTGAATAACCGCCCCTCTCGAATAACCGCCCCTCCTAACGTGAAAATTTCCTTAAGCGCCCCGTTTGAATAAGCGCCCCTTCTAATGTGAATAAGCGCCCCCTCATCAATAATTTCATAAGATTTTCTTTTTAACAAGTCAATAATCCAATCAATCCCGGGACTGTGGTTGTTGGCATGATTTGAGCTGCAGAGTGGAAACACATTCTTCTTAGGTCAATATCAAAATGAGAATATTTCTCTTGGATTGATGAGAGCTCCAATCCCTGGGCAGACAGTATATTTCCAACTTTACTCTTTTTACATATTTGTCTATGTCTAGTCCTACTCCTCTTGTTCTTTTTCCGACCTTTAGCACATTTTCATCTGAGTTTTCTAGAAAAAATACAATGATCCTGCCATTCTGCTCAATCGGCCGACGGCCAAAAAGCTAACCACTACCCACCACCACTAATTGCATCTGCTATTTTGCTGTTATGTAAATATTCACGCATTCTTGTCATGAGCCATGTTCTCTGGACGATTATCTTTTCGTTTGTAATGTCTTTAATCTATTTTTCATTCAAAAAATGCCTCTTGAATTTAACAATTTCCCATAAGAACCCTTCGATTTTCATCTATTTTCATAAGCGCCCTCTCAATTTCCACTCTGTTTTCATAAGCGCCCAGTTCGAATAAGCGCCCCGTTTGAATAAGCGCCCCTCAGAAAGTGCAAAAAATTTATTTTAAGCGACCGGGCGCTTATTCGCGCGAGTACGGTATTCGTCTTCGAATCGTAGGATGCGCAGGTGGGCGTGGTTTAACGAAGAACGACCTGCCGAATACGGCCTGACAAGTTGGGGTAATGTTTTGCTCAGCAAATTGAACATTTTTCTGAGGGGTGCGCAACCCAACTCTCCAGATACCGTAAAACCTCGAATTGAAGCCCAGTGGGCTTAATATTAAGATGAAACCCATCTCGAATTGAATAATAATATTAATAAATAATAATTATAGGCCTATAGCTACACACCCTCGCTCGCCTGTCCACGCCTGTCGTTTGGGGATGTGGCATAATAAATAGCTAGTCCTTTTTCTTCAGATTTTTAAGGTTTTGCCTTCCTACTTTTTTCAACTGTGTTTGTTGGCTTTGAAAACACGAATGTTTGCACCTAATCGAATTTTTATTCGCAACAAGGATTGGTTTTTTTTTTTCTTGTGAAATAAATTGTGGTTCCCTATATAAATAATGGAATATTCGAGTTTACTGTACTACGAGCTTTACCAAATCTGCATACTGATCGATGCCTCAGATTTAGCTAAGCACAGCTAAGGAAGCGGCGAATAAAGAATACAAAAGAGGCGGTTGAATTTTAGGTATATTGAACAAAAGGTCATCCAAGGTCCGTTGTGTAGTATACTGAGTGTTTACGGAAATTACGTTCAGCCATCTAGCGGAAAGGGAAGCGTAGCCATTTAACTAAACGATAAACCGAAGAGACTTCGTCATTGTCGGGAAGTAAAATCGATCCAATCTCCACCAAGAAGTAGTGCTGTATTCGGTTGAAGGCAAAATGGAAGGTTAGGAAATACTTAAATATTGTCTATTCAATCTTTTACAGTTTATAATCCATTGGAATTTATCGACTATGATAAATTTATGATTGTTAGGTGGGTCCAAACTTAAGCACCCGCTTAAGAAGCTCGTCGGCTAGGTGACTTCCTGACGAGCTCTGGCACACGGAACCCCGTGAAGGCGTATACTTAGTGGTGCAGTGTGGGTCACGATCGACTGTTTGTGAAAAGGCGTGGTCAGCTCATTCTAACATAACGAAAGTCAACATTAATGCATTTTTTATACCAAACAATAAATGGAATAACCAGTCAGTCGATATAGTTCAGCTGGCTCACAATCATTGATAATGTTAGTTATTTTTAGAGATGAACAACATTATGATTATATTTTTGCTAGCCTTTAGGGTGAGTTAGGCCTAGGCTGTATGACAGTAAAGTCTACAGAATACCAGGGATTTTGGATCGGTCCTACTAAATACCACACGGAACCACACACGAGACCACACGAATGCAAAACTTATTAAAATATTACCCCACAAGAGTAGAAAACGGCTTGATAATAAATAAAAACCACCTTTTATAATGAAAGTTGTCCGAATTATGGTAAAAATTGACTATTTTTTAACAGTTTTTGCTGCAGGCTTAAAAAACTTTATGAACTTGCTTTGCAGAAACAGCAACAGTTTCATTAATATTGTATTGTCAGTAAATATTGTTGATATCTTACAGAAAGAGCAGTGAAAGTCCAATGGGCCAGATATTCTGAGCAAGCTGAGCGATACGATGACATGAAAGATGCAATGAAATCTGTGGTTCAAGCTGGAGAACCCCTATCATCTGAGGAGCGCAATCTTCTGTCAGTGGCCTACAAAAATGTATGTGGTGCTAGGCGGTCAGCATGGCGGGTTGCTAATACTCTTAAGCGGAGTGCAACCTCAGAACTTCAAAGAAAAGTCGCGGATGATATGCGGGTAAAAATTGAAAATGAATTGGAAAAAATCTGTGATGAAGTACTCGACCTTATTCGACAATGTCTGGAGCACTCTCAGGATGATAATGAACTACGAACATTTTTTAACAAGATGCAAGGGGACTATTACCGTTATCGCGTAGAAGTGGCAGATTCCAATGACGAAATACACAAGACGTTGGTTCAAAAGGCTAAAGATGCGTACGAAAAAGCAATGGAGGCTGCGAAGGAATTAGCTACTACCCATCCTGTGCGACTTGGGCTCGCTTTGAATTTCTCTGTCTTTTACTTCGAGATTGAAGATAATAAGACAGAAGCTTGCCAGATGGCAAAGACGGCATTTGATGAGGCAATCGCGGATATTGACCACGTCAGTGAAGACACCTATAAGGACTCAACACTAATTATGCAACTCCTTCGTGACAACCTTGCGCTGTGGTCTGCAGACGATGAAGCTGAGGATGGTACGGAATAATTAACGTCAATAATATTCCATATGTAGTCACCATAATTGCTTTAGAGGCTACGCCACTGTATACTGAGGTGTAATGGGTTCTTCAGAATTGTTTTCAAATGATAAATATTGAATTTTAAAAATGAGTGAAATATAAATGTTTACAGTACATTATTTATGGTTATTTTTTTATTTGTCTATTTGTGAGGGGGTTGATATATTACTAATTAACTGTAATCTGACCACACTACCATTTAATATAAAATCTCATGTAACATTCCACAGATCCCAGGGGTTGAATACCAGGGCCCTAGACTAAAGTGGTTAGTGATTTAGAATAATCCTTTATGAAAATATTTCAGAAGTATTATATGCAATTAATTTTACAGTTAAAAAAATGTCACATAGTTAATTTGTTTTCATGATGACCTAGTTTATTCCTCTAGGTCATTTTGATACAGCTGTGTGCATTGTGTGTAACATTACAATATTGCAAAACTTTTTAAATATTATTATATAGCGCCCTCGCTCTTAATATCATCATTCATGTTCATGAATATAGTAGTGTCCCTAATTGACCTTTTACATTCCTCTCTTCACAATGTTTACCCCAACAATAAATTAAATCAATAATTTTATAAGATTAATGAGCCAAGTAATGAAAATTAGAATTTTTATCATGTTATATATAAAACAATTATCCTCAAATGTAATGATATTATTTTTTTGTGGACTTTTTTGTTGTTTTTTTTAAATTAAAAATATTGTATTAATACCTGTAATATTAAGACAATACAGGGTAGCTAGCATTTTATTATGAAATCAGTGTATTTGAAACCAAAACCAAACAGTATCACATTCAGATCTGAAAGTCAAATAGTTTTGACAAAAAACAGGCGTGAATAAAATCTGACTGTTTGAATTTTCTGTTGTCATTGAGTCAGTGTTATTGTCATTTGCATACGATATACAAAGCCAGTTGTGGCCTCATTGAGGGCTGTGAAATAGGAAAACTGGTTGGGGAAAATTATATGGATTTTTACAGGAACTGAAAATTGGATTAAGTATTAGCCTTCCAAATCACTAAATTGTGGGGGATGGGAGTATGGATCTTACTTGAGGGCTAGTGGCCTGGGTACAATACTTGGCTTTTTTTAAATTCCAGCGCATATCAGTGTTACGTATTTGTAATAAGAAAAAAATGTGTTATTGTGTGATCATAAAAAATGATTGATCCAAACCTGGTTAAATAGAAAATGTAATTCTACTGAAGAAGAACATGTGGTGAGAATGGGTTTTACTTCTATTAGATTTGTTTGCAGTCATTAAAGGGTTTGGTGTGGGGGAGTTAATCCAAGAAAAAAAATTAAACGTCCTATGGCATATAATCAAGGGAGGCGTTATGAGCAGTGGTAGCGCCAGGACCTGCCCGACGGAGGGGATAAAGGCGCGAATCGAGTCTCATTTGGCGGGGGGGGGCCGCATGTAAATATTTTTTTTTATTTGTTTGTTCCCCGACAAAATTTATTATCTTCCCCGACGGGAGCGGGGGGCTATGCTTCCCCGACGGGGGAGGGCTATTGCTCCCCAGCCTCCCCCCTCTCTGGCGCCACCACTGGTTACGAGGCTCTAACAGGGTCAATTATTCAAAGTGAGGCGTTTATTTGAATAAATGCAGTATGGTAAGGGGAAAACAGCCACCTACTCCCACATCCTACAAGGAACAAGGTCCTGGATTTGCCCCTATATTTTCAGGCGTTGTTTTCACAATGTTTTGTTGATTATTAGATTGAATAAATATATGAAGTTGGGCTAGGGTAGATTATTAAATTGGTCATCGAGTCCTCAGAATGTGTGAGCTTCGGGGGTTTCACCTCTGGTCCCAGTCTTAGTGGGTTAATTCAAGCTGTTTCCCCCTATGAAAAAAAAATATGGAATCTTGCCACTGACAACATTAGCTTAGATTCCTGGGATCTTCCCCCACTTGATCCCCTCCGAGAGCTGCCTTCATTTAGGCCCAGGGGTGGCCGATGTCCCAGACAAAAGAAAAATGGTCATGGTTTGGTGCCGCTCATTCCGAATGTGGTCCAATTGTCTCCAAAAATTCCTACAATCGCGGTTTCAAAGGCTTATTTAATTGATTTTAAACAGTGGCAGATTCGGAGTTGGGTGGGGGGTTGGGTTTGGAGCCTTCCTAAATTTTTCATATTAAAAAAAATAAATAAATAAAAAAATAAATATTTGACTCAAATTTAGAGCCTAAGAGTGCCATTTCCGACCATCTAGAGGTGTCATAATCATAAATTTTCTTACCTCAGCCCCAACCATGATTGTGAGGTATTATGAGACCCTCCATCTGTAAGTTCTCCAGGCCCCGTTATTTCAAATTCCTGGATCCGCAACTGTTAGTCTACTAATGTAGAAACATATAATTTTTTTCACCCCTACGAATTGTGTTTTTTCTCCCTCACAGGGTCAGCTCACTCCAACAAGGAACCTGCCCCCCCCCACCTCCCTTTCTGTTTTAGCCCCACCCGTTTTGACTGTCAGCCTCTCTGTCGGGCAGATCATGACACATCACTACATTGCAGTAATTGCATGCACTATCAATTACACATAAAATTTGTAAGGAGGGTAACTTGCAATGACAGGATGATGACATGACACGACACCTCAACTCGAACTTGTTTTTGCGAGCCAGCACATTCCCACCTAGACCTAATCATCGAGCCCCGCTTTGCCTTCATGTCTCCCATCATCCCTTCATTTCAAGACTCATATCGGGACTATTCTAAAAAAAATGTTCCTCGCCCCACGTCCCCCAAAAAAATCGATCAAAAGTAGCTAAATTCACCTTACTCTGCAAGCTAACGCCGCCTCACCTAATCATTTAGCCACTGCACCTATACTATATCCCCTCCCCCATTTGATACGCCACTTCCCCTGCCTTCCCCCACTCACGGTGACATGGCCGGCCAACTGGTTATAAAAAAAAATGAACTGAAAATGAAGTATCAATTATTTTTGGGTCATTTTTAACACACAATATCGAACAATTTTTTTTTTTTTTAAATTTAAAATTAAATAAAATAATTAAAACGGCAGTTAGAGATGTATCCAAAAAAAAATGTACACTCCACCTCCACCCATACTACGCACATGCTGGCGCCATCACTCTGCTTACAATCCAGCTATATCAGTACTATGAATATTCATATTGAAAAGGTTGATTTTGTTTGACACGGTTGAGTGAGCATAAACACACTTTTACAACAAGGGGTCGACGTTTGGCTCGCGTGTGTGCTGGGTTCAGAGCATGCACAGCTCAGGTGGAGCATATGAATGTAAGTATAGGGCCTATAAGTATAAAGTGGCCTAGGCCTAGCAGGACTAAGCTTAGGATTAGCCCTAGCATTTGATGTGTGTTTGTCTAATGGGCAGACAAGAAAGATGGACTAGGGCTAGGGCCTAGCTAGCTAGGCCTCGAGAGGGCCATCACTGACCTACCAGCCTCTTGCACCACTCATTTAGAGTGGTGTGCGGTGATTTACGGTTTCTCCTAAAAAGCTAGCTAGCTAGGCCTAGGCTGTGTCTTTCTGGAGTTTTTGGCCTACCCGTCACTCTGAGTCTCTATATAACGATGGAATCATCATCATCATTCATCAGGAGAGCTTACTGAGTGAGAGAGGGGGAGGTCTGTTCATCCTCCTTCCACCAGCAGCCACCCAGTATAATAGGCTTACCCATGTTGCTACTTTGTGAATGTGAAGTAACAGTGACTTCTAATAGTAATGTTATGTATATAGGCCTTCCTACAAACCTGTTTTTTTTTAAATAATAATGCCATCAAATTTTCACCGGCAAGGTATGTTTTTTCCCCATCTGTTTGGGGTGGGAGGAGGAGAAGCATCAATGTGTGTGTGAGACCATGCATCAAAAAAAGGGCCTAAATAAACATGTGTGCAATGCAGAGAAAAGTACCCCTTTTCACGTATATTAAAATCTTACCCAAACTTTCCCCAAAATAAGTATTTTGGAATGAACCAGTTGGAGCAGGTGGGGAAAAAACTGCTGAATTTTGCTCCTGGACGTAACTATTTTGCAACTATTTTTTTCCGGGCGATTAATTCTTTGCACTGCGTGTGTGACGCGCAGTTGCCGATGCAATGCTGGTCTGACTCGCAGCGATGGAGATTCTAAACACATTTTTAATGTCCTTAATTTGATACCCTATTTAAAATTTGAGCATTTTTCAGACCCTAAAAATGTAACGTTAATATGCCTGTTTAGGAAATTTGATTTGATTTGATTTTATTAGATATCAACAGAACAACATCACAAAAACAGAATATACTACATACAGTAAATAGCACTTTTTATGCGATTTTGGTCACACATATACATCCCCGAGGTCAAGGTGAGTGGCCACCCCGGGCCTAATTCTTTTTAGAAAAGTGGCCGTACTTACCAAATTTCAACTCCATTTCTATTAGTAAGCATCACTTAGGGTAAGCAACAAGGTGTGCGATGTACAAGGTTTATCACTTAACTACAATAGAGAGTGCACATTTTGTTTGTTCGTTCAGGATGCATAATGGTCTGAGAATACTTCTGTTGATACTGTTTGTTGTTATCTGTGCCTTGGAAGAAACTGATGCAAGAAAACAATACAACTTCCGAAGATATCAGTATAAAAAGAAGCCAAAAATTGTAAGTTAAAATCTGTCAATACCGGCATACACTGTTTGCTTTCAGGCTTACTTACACATTGATCAATCTACAGATCTCTACACAAGGTGCATGCTATTTGCTATTTTTATTCAATCGATTATTTTTTAGGAGAAAAAATACAAAAATGAATTAATGAAGTGCGAGAGAAGTCAGGAATGTTCACAATTGGCTAGTTTAGAGAAGATAAACTGCGCACGACGTTGTCTGGCATTAGATTGCTACCAAGAGCTTTATCATAATGATATGGTAAGTACAGAAGCTTGGATACGTATTATCCCATCCAACACTGAGGAGGGGATTCCCATATTTAAATAGATTGCTAACTTTTATGAATTCAATTTTTTGTTTTATTCGCACCAGAATTCTCAATAGAAATATTAAGTCAGTTATGTCATCGTGTTGATTTGCACGTAATTGTACTATTTCCGATCAAGCAGCACTAATTTGCTATAGTACCTCCGATTTCTCTCGTCTTGCATGAAGGTAAATCAAAGCTGGGGTTTTACATTGCAATGAACATTTCGTTGCCATCCCAAGTTCTGAACAACACAGTGGACCTAACAAATCTCGCTCAAAGGCACTGGTTAACACGGCTGAAACCTAGACCACCGACATAGGTAAGGCCTAGAAATGCTTGGTTATGAGATTGCAAGGCAATTGACTTATAACTAGACTTTAAAAAGAAGGCATCACTGAAATACTTTCAGTTCACTATTTTAATCTATTATCAAACAAATGTCTACCAGGAGGTTAGGCCTACCTATACTTCATCAACAACAATTAATTTAATCTCGTTCAACTGATCACAAAGAGCTGTGAATAGTGTCAGTGCATTGTACTCTTACTTGTAAATCATTCTCATACACACAGCTAATCTTTCTTGATTTTGTATCCATTTTTCGCCCCCTCTTGAATCTGACATTGAAAATAATTCTTGATCTTCCATCTAGAAAAAGAGTTGGCATTGAGGAACATTTAACATAGTTGAAAATTGAATCTGTTGATTTCACACTGATGTATTAAGGTTCTAAGATTTTGTTCACTTAAACATAAAATGCAAGTATACATTTATTTTATTTGACCAACATTTACAATTACAGTAATAATAAAATAGAATAGGGGAGAAAAACAAAAATTTAAATGCTGGACCAAGCTTTCCTTTTTTGGTTAATAATAATAATAATAATAATAATACTTTATTTGTCATCATTCTAATAGGAATTCGGAAATTTAGGCTGGGCCCCTGAGAACCTGCAGCAGCTGCTGAGAGAGCAGCTTAGCTCAGTTGGCTAATCTGGTGGTAGCCACTGTGTGTGCGCTAAACCATGGAAATCTCTAGGTCCCCGGTTCAATTACCATTGCTGCCTCTCCTTGTGTTTCAGCTAGAGGGCTGTAATACAAGTTACAAAGCGCACCGTCTTTCAGATGAGATGTTTAAGTTGTTGGTCCCGTGTGCATTTGTGGCCCATGTGCACTTTAAATAACACCGTACACTCTTCGGAAAAGAGTAGGAGATTGTCTCCCGGTGTACTGCCCAATCACCACCAGAAGGATCCCACTGGAAATAAGTCTTCTTCTAGACTTTCATGAGCTATCCTTGGTGTTTACACCGAATAAATCCAATCCAAGCCACCCAACTTAACAACTACAGCGGGCACATACAGATACACGCATGTTCCTTAACCTGCCTAACTCTCAATATGAGGGTTATTCGTTTAACCAAGCTAACCTGCCTAACTCTCAATATGAGGGTTATTCGTTTAACCAAGCTAACCTGCCTAACTCTCAATATGAGGGTTATTCGTTTAACCAAGCGATCAGACTCCAATTCAAACCCAAAAAGCAGGAAACCCTTTCAGCCAACTGCTCAGCTCAGTTTTAGTCCAAACTTCAAATGGAAGAATTCGCTGTCACATCTTGCATGATTAAAAAATAGTGCAGCTTTTGTGCAGTTGATGTTTTCTCCTCAATTATATACTGTATGTGAAATTACCTTCCCGTATTGCGATGTTTTAGTACAGTATATAGTAATACATTTAATATAAAATGGAAGAAGTGAGAGTCCAATTGCCTAAGCTTTTTTGTAAGGAGGTAAATTGCAGAATTACTATGTTTGTTGCAATTACAAAATATTTTATTATTTCAATTCTTATACTTTGTATAAATTATTAAATTACAAAGCATTTCTAAAGTGTCTTTACAAAAGAGAGCAAAGTGTTGTACACTGTAATAAAAGTACTATTATTAAGATAAGATAAGATAAGCTTTATTAGTCTATTCACATATAAAAATACATAAACAGAAATGTTTCTTGAATCTGGCATAAACACGTACACGTAAACACCAACAAACATCAAGTTACAAAAGCAAAAGAAATTGTAACGCATCTACTCATTACATAATTTAAATATTATATATAAAAGTATTAAAAATATTAAAAATTAATTAAAATTTACAGTTATTACGAAAAATTTCATTTACAACAAATTGAATTCAATATTAAAATTATAATTATTTTACGAAAAATTGTATTTACAATAAATTGAAAAGAATTCAATATCAAAAATATCAATTGCAGTTCAAATATATATCAGAAATATAAAAATTGCACATGAATACAAGAAAACTCTAACAATTACATACAAACATACACACAAAAATACACCAGGTACATAAAAAACACGTGCAAGTCAAGAATCAATTATAATTAGAAATTATAAAAATAAAAGAACAACAACAACACCAAAAGCAATAACATAAAAAAACCAAAACTTGACAAGCATACAAGCATACAGTAAAAAGTAAATACAAGCATAAAAAGTAAAATTTTAAAAAATTAATAGGACATAGAAAATTCTACATCATAAAAAATTCCACAAATATTACCAGTATAGCGATGCAATTGCAACAATAAATTGCAGTGTGTGATTAAAAATTGTGGATCAACCAATTACAGATAAAACATCTCTCAAGGAAAACAAAAATGTGGGAAATGTTGGACAGTGGCTGATACTCTTTTTTCAAACCCCTAGTGGTCAGAGCGTTAAGAAATAAGCAATAGTTTGAGGAATGTAGCCTAAAATAAATGAACTGGAATTTAAATAGAGAAGCATCATTACTCTAATTTAATACAACCATTACTTAAATTCAGTCTGCTGCCCCCTATACATGACCTTTTGTTTATGATAATACATTGATAATGTGAAATGTCAAAATTGTTATTATGTGGGAAAAGGCAACGAAAGGTTGCATAACTTTACATTCATGTAGCAGTGTATACGGCCTTCACTACAGTTGTTTACAATGATATATTATCAGTGTTGTTCTTATTCAAAATAATCTGTTTTTGAGTTCCATAAATTATATTTTAAAGATTGAATTATTATCTTCATTGTGACATTGTCTTAATTTTTTTTTTCCTATGGTCTTTGGTAGTGAAGATATATTGAATTTAGTATAATTTGACTTAAATTAACATAATTAATAAATAGTCACCATCCCAAGTCAAACTTAGCATAATACAGTCAAATTAGCATAATCTAAATAGTCATCATAATTTATGTTTTTGCATACAATCATGTTGTTGAATTAGCATAATCCAAATGAACATTATTATAATCCATATCTAATTAGCATAATCAGTCAAATTAACATAATCTGTGGTCTGTGCTTCAGTTTTAAAAAAAATATTTGTTTTTATATGTGTATTAATTAATAGTGTAAATTATTTAACTTTTTCAAAAGCCATATCCAGATCAGATTTTATTTGGCAAAGACATGTGACATGCCTAAATATGGTCATGATGACATCACATCATGACCATATATAGGCACATCATGACTGTATATGGGCATACAACAGTTTTTTATCAAAGAAAATGTGATAGTGTTTTACAGGGCCTAACAGAAAACTCCATGGGAGCACATCAGCTTGTGTTTCTACAGTAGGTCAGTTAGTAGAGCACCCATACAATAATTGGAATGCCGTAGTTTCAAATCCTGAATCGGTAGTAACTCCCTATCTAATTTTGTATTACAGGTATCTCCTTTTAAATTAGCTGCTTACTTAAAAATCTCCCTTTTTTTTATGGACGACTATACTTTTTTAAATATTGAATGATAAATTGTAGAGGGTTTCCTAAAGTAGGCCTACTTGGGTATAAGCTTACTGTATCACCTGCTTTATGCCCAGTTTATATTCCCAGCCAAAACCCAGGGTTATGGTTTGAATATGTAGCTCAGCTGACCGTTAACAAACACTTTGATTGGCTTTGGTTTAGGCATGTTATTTTGAAAACATTTGATTGGCTATCCCTACACATTATTGGACATGCTGTGAGGTTGAAAGAATATTTTTCTTGTTATAGTTTAGTTTAGTTCGTATTTTTATAGCGCCTATTCCTTTACGTAATACAAAGCACTTTCTTTTCCCTGGTCATTGAATCTCCATGCTTTACTCGTAATCAGTGCAAGAGCAGGCAACTCCACCAAGTACCGTACCTAATTTATACTCCTGAGTGTAGAGAAGCATATCAGCTAAAGTGCCTTGCTCAAGGACGCAAGCGAAATGCACAGCGAGGGATTGAAACCCCGACCTCGATGTTGGGAAACCAAACCATCCCGCTGCGATAAAGTGCTTCCATGGAAATGAGCACACCCCACAAAGTCATCCTGCGGGAACAATGCTATATGTACACCGTAGTTTCTGGTGTAAGATCACCTTCCTTGAAAATGCCAATAGGCCAATTTTGTGGATGTGGACTTATACTGTAACTTAGGAGCTGTTCATGAAAAAACTTTATCTTAAAGCAAACTTTCAACATCATGCCATGTTCAATTCAAATCCGGACTTAGTTGAGTCCACTGAGCAATGCATTCAAATTACGTGAAATTTGGGGTGGCCATATACATGAGGTATATACTGTGTATCCGAGAAACTACGATATATTTTTCCATCTTTACGTTAGTGTCACTACTTCGTGATTTATTGCAGATTATGAATTACATTTTTTTCTTGATGAATTGTACTTCTATGACAGTCCACAAGAATTTTCCTATTGTGCTTTTGTATATACTTTTGTGTAGAATTTACTTTGGTTTTTTTTTTGTTTTTTTTTTACTGTATACAGTAAGTACATGTGTTACGAGGAAAACCAGTACTACGTACATGCTAAGAATCCTTGATTATAAACAATTTTAGCATGGAACAACAAGATCATAAAATATTATATTGATCACAAACCAGATGAAATGAAAACTGCTGTAAAACTACTTTTATAAATATTGAAAGAAAAATTGCAGGTAGTTTTCATGCAATTTGTGGACTTTGTAGAGGGTTTCTTAAAGTACTTGGGTACAGTATAAGCGTATCCCTGTTTTATGCCTAATTTATATTCCCAGCCAAAAACCCAGGGTTATGTTTTGAATGTGTACTGTACAATAGCTCAGCTGACTGTAAAAAAAAAAAAACAAAAAAAAAAAAAACTCTGATTGGCTTTGAATTAGGCATGTTATGTTGAAAACATTGGATATCCCTTCAAATTATTGGACATGCTGTGAGGTTGAAAAGGGTATTTTTCTTATTATAGTTTAGTTTAGTTCGTATATATGCCTATTCCTTTAGGTTACAAAGCGCTTTCATTTCCCTGGTCATTGAATCCACATGTTTAAGTGTTGCTGCTGGTAATCAGGGCAGGGTCATGCAGCTCCCCCGGGTACCGCTGGGCAATACCCAATGAAGCATCCAGTGTCCACCCCTGAATTGTCTATTCCTTATATGGAGTGCTTTCACCGTAGAGATGCTTATTCCTACACAATGGCAATTCCTACACAAAAGCACCCATTGCAGAAATCAAGCGCTTTTCTTGCACACAGTAAATAAACACATGCGGCACCTCATGCACATTCAGTTTCAGCTGATTGTTAATGAAGATGTAGATAGTATATGTATGTCCTTGAAGATTAATTTACAATTTCTAGATCCCAGGGCCATTGGTAGCCCTAAACGTTATTAGATTGTTGAGCAACTGTACATTATGTAGTAAATTCAACTATTTGGCTGCTGTCGCTGTCTGCTTGTGAACTAATAATAATAATTTAATATATTTATTTGTTTTTGATTAATTCATAGTTAGAAGAAGGAGAAGTTGACGTCCGAGTTACATCATTCAAAGGTTGTTGGCAGAAGTATTACCTCAAAGGTATACGATCTGAACTGTGAACGTCATCAACTTGAATTCAGAGCTATTGGGCACGTAAGCCATTAAGAGCACAGCTGCTGTCGCCGTCCATTGCGTGGTCTCACAAATTACAGTCATCTTAAGACGACGGGCAAGGTAAATCTCCTAAATAACTAATGTTTTTGTTTTTAACGATGGAACTGTAATATTACACAAGTTTAAGCGTCAACACGATTAACGTGAATTGTGTTCTTGGGTTAAACATCCAACACAAATACAAATTGAGACTCTTTGTGTGTATCTGCGTGTTTGCCTGTACATAAGCTATACACATTGAATGGAGGCACCAATGGGGGATCAGATGGATGCTCACAAAGGATTATTCTAGGAACTCATAATCAAAGCTCTTAGGAGGCGCTTGCTTAGGACCCTACTGGCTCCTTCAGACTTGTAGGGCCCTTGTCAGCAAATTTCTGGCCTTACCACTGTACACATGTCACTGCAGTTTCCACAGCTCATGCAAGCCATTTATTTGTATTGATATGTTTTTCATTTTGTAAAAAAAAAAAAATTAAAGGTGACAATGAAAATAAGGGAATAAAACAATTTAATCTTTTTTTTTTTCTTATAAAAGGTAAATATTCTTTGTTCTTGGAAGGCTGACAAAGACAATTTGAAAAATGAGGAGTAAGTTGATGTCATGGAAACTCAAACAAAAGTGACAAATTTGATCTTAGAGGATTACAGCTGATATCATGAAATGGCAGATTATTATTCAAAACAGGCTTCGATGCTGATACATTCAAGATAATTTATTACCCGATACATACCGCTACATATTTTGTCGTACATCGGCAATATGATGTTGCATTAAATATAATCACAAATTTTTATTGAAAATTTTTTTTTTTTGTTCAGTGAGTGCGATGATATGTGTAGCTGCAGCTGTTTCATTTAGATAGTTAATTGGCATAATTAATAGGAATGTTAAAAATAAGAATAATAATGAATGTGATTATTGAAACGTATTTAATATTTTTTATAGTTAAACTGTTAAATGAATGTGATAATACATACGTTGCTGCATATATTTCATTTAAAGATGTTGCCTAGCATATATTGATATAATGAATGTAATGAAGATTTAAACAAAACAAACATGAAAACAACAATTAATTCAATATGGTAGATGATGGTGATGATACGAATAATGAAAACAATGAGAGGATAAAGATTATAACAATGACAGAGGTGTTAATGATGTTGATATTAATGAAGATTCTAATGATAATGATAATAATGAGGATGATGGTGATATTAAAATGATGTTAATGATTATAGTAAGTAAGTTTGATAATATAACTAATGATAATAATATGGATTTTTTTTAGACAACCAACTAATCAAAGATCTACAAGGCAGAGCATTAGGTATTGAGGTTCAGTACCCCAAATATGTGATATTATTTAATGATGTTAATTAATAATGATGTTAAATAATGTTTCATTATATAAAGCTCAGGAAAAAAGTACTAATTAGATTTTCCTCTTTTTCCCACATAGAAGGAATAAAATTAATGACAATATATTGGACTGTACTTTCGAACCGGAGTGCATAACAACAGATGCCTCTAGGGATTGTCAAAAACAAGCTGTGTGTTGTTGCTGTACAGGAAAATTGGACAAAACAGCAGCATGAATTAAAATATAGTGAAATACAGTAATTTCAATAAATATTATTACATCAGTGGATTGTACAAAATACTGGAGAAAAAAAATAATCAGCAAGTTATTCGTTTTTTTTTTTGTCACTTCAAAAATTTTGTGATGTTTGCATATTAATTAATGTAAATAGCTTGTTGGTTAAGATGCTCGCCTTCCAAACCCAGGTTCCTGGGTTCAATTCCTGTCAGTTTTGCAGGATTTTCTCCTACTCGCTTATCTATTCTGAAACTGTTGTGACCCCTCCCAGGGGCGGATCCAGAGATGTTCGAAAGGGGATGGGGCCGTAGGGGGAGCAAAAGTGAGGCCGATCGAGATAACACCATCGTCTGTCTCTTATACACATCTAGATGTGTATAAGAGACAGGAAAAACTATTATTAAAAAAAAAAAGACCTCATTCTCCCACCATCATCATATTTTCGCGGATTTTTAGCTAGACAGAAGAGGCTAGAAACCACATCTGTTCAACTATTTCTAGAGAGCAGTAATAATCATCCATCTCTTAATTAATTTCATAAACCAGCACAACACTTATGGGCAAATGAAGTATGCCCAACAACCAAGAAATGGACATAGGCAAATGATGTCATTAATTGGAAGTCGGCCTGAAGAAGGGTAGTTCACAGTGACAATTAACTTATTAATGCCTATGATAGCCGCAACAGTCTTGGGCCTCGAGAGCCTAAAAAATATTACCCCACAATCGGCTCTGGCCAAGCCTAATAAGCAGTTGTTGAGACTGAACACTTTCGTGATGATTTTTTTTTTTTTGCTATTGACTGTTCTTATTACTATTCATTTTTATATTTTATGATTACTGTCATAAAAAAGACCATTTTTATAAACAGACTGTTACACCTTGTCTGAAATTGTATCCTATATAAATATGTTTTAAATAAATAGAAAATAAAGAATCTATTATTCTATCACTTTAAATGCCATTTTTTTCATAACTTTGCAGTTTGTCAGTTACTGTATTAATAAAAATGCTTGACAGAATTCGAATTTTTTCGAAGAACGCACTTTCGTACATAAATTATTATTATTATTATTATTATTATTATTATTATTATTATTATTATTATTATTATTTCAATAAATTAAAAGCTAGTTGGTATTGGATTGGATTTTTTTCGGTGTAAACACCATGGATAGCCCACGAAATTCTAGAAGAAGACTATTTCCAGTGGGGTCCTTCTGGTGGTGATTGAGTAGTAGCGGAGTGATAAGATGAATTACAATTCCAGAAATGTAGCAAAATATCCAAGTTGAAATGTAACACTTCCAGATACAAGTGTAGCCCAATCTCCTTTCTTATTGATTTATTGAATTTAGAGTAGTTCTATTAATGGAACAATATTTCCATCAATCTAAAGAGTAGTGTACCTTTTATAATTTTTTCTATCAAAAATCTATTGCAGTCCGAATGTTGTTTTCTCTATATTTTTTTTTTTTTTTTTTGCAATACTGTATAATAACTATGATAATGTATTTGTATTATATTGATGATCTCAATAATTGCATTAATAAAACTTTAATTGCAATAATAATATTAAATAATAATAATGAAGATAAAAATAAATAAAAATAATTATCAAGTTTTTAAATGTTTTATGATATGAATATTATAATATTGTACTCTGCCTCTTTGCCTTAGGGGCCTATTATTTTTAGTGTGTATATTTTGTGCTTGTTAATATAACGCAACTTAGTTTTTACTGCAATGTTATATTCGGCAATGCTTATCTTAAATTATTTTTATTGTTACAAATTGTATGTTTGTGAAGTTTCGAAATTAGGCCTATGCCATGAGAATGTACAAGAGATGATCTTCGGAATGGAATCTTAAGAAACCAGAGTTTATAGAGCCAAAACAGATGAAATATTGCTAACTCTGTTTCTAAGGCTGGTGAACCAAGAGTTACGATCCAATGTTTGCATTTTGGGTAAAATTTCGAATTGGATTAATGTGTATTTTTTGTAACATAAATTAAATTTCCCACACGAATAATATAAACAAGCAGTAGGACTACTGGGTAAAGATAACTTGATTTCTTGCCTCCGTGGTAAGGTGTCCATTCTTAGAAGACCAGCCAAAATCTAATAGTGACGTGACGTTTGAGGTTCGAGACCAGGACATACTGTACCTCCGACTTTTAAAAAGATAAAAGAATGAAAACTTCAATAAAAGTAAATATTAATGAATGTACAGTACGTGGAAAATTATCTGTTGAATAAAAATAACGCAAAATATACAAGAATACAGGAAGAATGAAGAATAGGAAAGAAAATCGGAGCGGCTGAAATACTTAGCCTACTTACTTTTCACCAGTGTAAATTTTGGACACTCTTCATCAGAGGTCAAGGTGTCAAGTCTACACGTTTCGTAATTCTACATATAGAACCAAATAGATAAAATACTGCCAATTTTAAGGCTGGTGAACCAAGGTCGAATTTTACGATCTAATTCGGCATTTCTGGTATAGGCCTATATCCGAATTGGTTTATAGGCGAATCTATCCACAACAAGCATTCATCACATCAAAATTACTAGAGAAACAGGGGCGGATCCAGAGATGTCCAAAAAGGGGGGGGGGGGCGAAATTTGGGCCGATCGAGACAACAATGTCCTAGGGGGTCCGAAATTTTTGTGTTCTAGACGCCCGAAAATAACATTTGAGGCGTTGTGGGCTATCATTTTTTCTTTCTTTTTTCCTTTTTTTTTAACCTTCCAAAAGGTTAAAAAATCCGCCCCTGAGAAACATCGATCAGAGCAACACACCAAGAAACAATTATATTTGACAATAACATTAATATTAAAGGTTCACCTGAGTTAGGTCATTTTTCCTCCTCGGATAAGCCTGGATCCCGTCGTCCGAACTGCACGATGCAGTAACGTAATTTTGATTTCTAATGCATGTGGTTTGAAAGCACAATTTGGGCGATACTAGCCAAAACCTCATGAACCCCAGAGGGGCAGCGTTAGCAGGGCGTCCGGGGGGGGGATGCAGGCAAAGGACCCCCCCCCCCCATCGGGGACCTCTGGACCCCCACTGTCGGGGAATTTTCAGCAAGGTCGTCGGGAAAAATTCAAATCTCGAGCGCCGAAAGTACAATTTGAAGCATGTCTTAATAAGCTGTCAAAATGTTAAGGATTAAGAACTATTTAGTGCGAGCAGTGTTATGGTATCGTATACGAGGTGCCGTATTCTTTTGCGATCGTATACGTTGCACCAGCTCTTCCCCGACAGAGGCAGTTACTTCCGACAGGGGTTAGTACCCCCGACAGGTGGACTAGTATTCCCGACATACTTTTTAAATAAAGAATCCCATAATCAACACAAAATTTTATTTTCTTTTATTAAAAAAAAAAAATCTCCGACAAATTTAATTTTTCCCCGACAAAATAATTTTTTTCCCGATCGGGGGTGGGGGTAAGGTTTCCCCGACGGCGGAGTGGGTGGACCCCCTTGTCGGGGAGCTTGGATTCTTGGCGCCGCCCCTTTAACCCCGCCGGGGATTTTCAGTCCGTGACCCTGACCGAGGTTCTAGTCGTCCCCTTGGTTCTGACCTTCCTGTCGGACATTTCGGACCCCTTGTCGGCAAATTTCTGGAACCATCGCTGCAGTAAACTGCCATGTGTAAATTCTGAAGGGGAAATTGGGCAACGTATAACACCGGCCTATTATAATGCCTCCGAAACATTGAATATAGTCTGTGGCGCAACGTATCGTCGGTAGCGTAAATGTGACGTAACGCCTATGTACGCTCTCGTGCAGCGATCCGCAGTGACCCCCGATCCATAGGGCCCCTACCCATAGGGAAATCCAGCACCCTCACCCAAAAGGGCTTTGTTAATACATAACAGCATAATGTGTCTCTCGAGACTGTAGGATATATAGATATCCTATTATATCTAGTGGCAGGTTAAAAAAAAAAAGGTGGGGTGGGGGATGCCCGCTTGGGGCCCCATACATTTTTCGAAGTCTTGTAGAAATAAAGAAATGGAGATAAAAAGTGATTTAGTAATTTATTTTCCAATTTTAAGTCTGTGAGTGCCATTTCCGGCCTGTCGTAAATCGTCTTACCTCATCCCAAGCATGGTGGAGCTGAGACTGAGGTGGTGTATACCCTCCACCTGCGGAAGTTCCTCCCTGGGCTCCCTCTATATTTAAAATTCCAGGATCCCCCACTGTTACAATGAAATTTTTGCGACCGGGACCCAAAATGGGCCCCGTCTCAAAATAACGTCTGATGTGTTTTTTGGCGATCATCAATAATTTCTTTTTCTTCATTATTTTTTTTTAACTTTCAAAAGATAAGGTGTGAGGGTGGGGGCATCAAACAGAATGTCTAAATTGTGAAAATATATCTGCTTATTCACTTATAACACTTGAATCATAAATCAGTAATATACAGATGAACATCAGTCCAAAACAGCTGCCATCCGTCGATTGTCAAAACGTTTAGAAAAATTAAGTGACTCTTCAAACAGAATCCACAACACAACAAATTAAGGAGCAAGAATCCAACTGTGGGCACTGAATCACGTGCCCACCACCACCCACTCTCCCCCACCCGTTTTTCCACTAAATTTTAAATATTTCAATGCAAATCAATGGTATGTTCTACTCGCTTATCTATTCTGAAACTGTTGTGACCCCTCCCAGGGGCGGATCCAGAGATGTTCGAAAGGGGATGGGGCCGTAGGGGGAGCAAAAGTGAGGCCGATCGAGATAACACCATCGTAGGGTGTCCGGGGGCATTTCCCCGAGAAATTTTAGTTTTCTAGACGCCCTAAAATACGGTAACTCGGAGGTGTTTTGGGCGATCATTTTTTTTTTCTTTCTTTTTTTCAATTCCCCTTTTTTTCACTTTCTAAGAAGGCGGGGCCGGGGCCAGCCCCGACCCCTAAATCGACCCCTGTACGTCCTGTTGTTTTCATTACATTTATGTTGATTTTGTCATAATTTTTATTGAAAATGTATTACAAATTAATGTAATTATATTTTGTAACTTGTTCTTATGTCAATTACACTAAACTTACGAAAGATTTATTTCATCTTTCAATTTGAATAACTACGTCTCTGAACCCCTATTTGTGGACAACTTCACTTGCTCCGGTGTGTGCCCAAAGGTGTCGAATGTGAATGTGTCTCCAAAGTAGGACTATCTAAAGAAAATAAGTACTTCTTTAAACTACTAC